AAAAGTTCTCTCCCCATCGTGGGGCAACTAAGCAGCTAAAGATCTTAGGTGAACGAACTCCATGCAGTAATTGATATAGATAGGTTGAACGAACTCCAGGCAATAATTGATAGATAGATGGCAACGGATTTCTAAAAATCTTAAAAAGTGATTATAAAATTCTAAGAGGAAAAAATATATTATCAATAAGAAATAAAATATATTTAAAATATATGATATTTAATAATTTTAAAATGAACAACTGCTTTCATCCACTCCGCTCTCAATCTATCATTGGCAGCAGATATCTACTGTTTCTTGTGAAGTCCCTTTGGATGTGGCGGCGTTTATCCGCAGAATTTGTACCACCACCTTCAGCTGCCTCATCAGCATCTCGAATCCTCGTGATTTTTCATCAACATTGGCCTTAAACCGAGTTATGTATTTTTTTTAATTAAATTGTCCTGAAATATGTTCATCATCAATGTTTTGCGCTCGAGATGTTCTTTTCGTTACGTTAAAAGGGAATATTGGTACGGTACACTCATTCATATATAATGGCAATATCGTATTCAGGCAGAATCTAGGTCTAGGCCCATTTGCCACACCCTTAATCTGCCTATTTATTCTACACAATAGAGAATAGAGCCGCAGAGGAGAAATTGTTCATTTTTGTAGTAAAAAGGAAAATTATCTGTTTTTGAAGATCTAAGCGACAATGGCAGCAGCAGAAGGACAAGATCAGTTGCCACACTATTGATCATGGAAGGAGCAACTCCAAAAGGGCAATGAATCCAAACAGCGGTATTTTGTTTTTTTTTTATTTTAATTCTTCACTAATGGATCTGATCTGTTTTCATCTGCTTCAAATAATATTATATATTCTGTCACTTGTTTGTTTTCTATGTATGGATTTAAAAAAATTCCCAGTTAATCTAATATTATTCAGTCAATTTCACATACTAAAACTAGGATCGTGTGTGTAAGCTGATTAATTTATTATATTTTGATGACATATCGTATATTGTTGCTAAATAGCAAAAAGAATACCATCAATTAGAGGAGTTTAGGATTTTGTGTGCATCAATTAAGATTTGATGTGTTTATTTATGAGGAAATTCTGTTATAGCCCCAATTAAGTTTTGTAGCATGTTTTTCAATTCTTGTAAACAAAGTGCTGAAGAAAGATATAGTAACAGATTGATGTTATATTATACACGTGACATTAATAAATTTTAAGGTTGGCAACTGTTGGTGGTGAATTGGTGATGACTAATCAATAACAGATGTTAATGGTGATGTTGATGTTTGCTTATTCTTTTTTTCGATTAACTTGAAATCGTTCTTTACCTTTTGCTTCTTCATAAATGGTAAAGGATTACTGCTTATACGTTAAATGCAGATGGTGGTTGATTTCACTGCCTCATGGTGTGGACCCTGCCGTTTTATTTCACCCTTTCTGGCTGAACTGGCCAAGAAGTTTCCTAATGTCATGTTTCTCAAGGTGGATGTGGATGAATTGAAGGTAACATGGATGCGGCGTCCAAACGAATCGAGAAGTGAAAATGTCAATAGAACTGATTGTTTTTTCTTTTGTTTTCAGGAAGTTGCTGCTGAATGGGGTGTGGAGGCTATGCCAACTTTCTTGTTCCTCAAGGAAGGAAAGGAAGTTGGCAAAGTGGTTGGTGCAAAAAAAGAAGAGCTTCAGCAGGCTGTGACAAAACATATGACTACTGCTTCTGCTTCTGCTTGATGGAGATGATTATTAGTACTACTTTTATAATGTTTTGAGGAACTTATTATCACATACAAGCATCTTTGATGTGCTGGTATTAATCTACACATCTCTATGTTGAACCCTATGTTTCTATATCATTTGAGGATTTTTTTTATATCCTTAACTAGTATGATTCATAATCAAAGCTTGCTTTCATGGTTGATGTGATTTTGGTTATGTCACTTGAAACTTTAGCCCCGTGGATTATTTGATACTTGTAGGGTTTGCCAGGAGATAAATTATCTCCTCAGACTTTGTCATCTGGTGGAAAATAAATGACACCACAATTACCTTTGATGAATTATAGCTTGGAAAGAACAATGAAAAAAAAGGGCAATTTGATTCAGGAACTGCACATAAAACAATGGTCATATTAGGAACCGCTCCCAACATGAACCTAATAGGGGTTCAATTTCCCCCCACTGATACAAACAGATATCACACCAAATACAACTGTGTGTTTCTCTGCTGCTGATATATCCGGTTAAAAGTCCAGCGGCATACCAGAAAATTCACCTTTAGGACCTAAATTTAAGGACCCCAAGAACTTAGAAACTCACCTATCTTATTATAATCACTAATTTACACAAACTTCAAAATTAAAATGACTCATTGCCTATAACACTGAACAATGAACAACTTTTGCCAGAGCACTCCACTTGGAAATGCTGTGGCACCTAACCTAAACTAAAGGTCTATTCTTTGCTCTCTCTTTTTTTTCACTCATTGCTGCTTTCTTCAAGTGCTGATAGTGTATAGTTAAATTACTAGATGCAAACCTTCTGGAGTTGTTCTGTGAGTCGTTTTTAATCTAATCAGCCTCCCCAGTTTGCCTGTGCTGTTGTAGAAGACATCGGAGCACAAACAGCTTCGACAGACAACCGCTTCAACACATTTGGGCATGGATCTTGCCCGAAGTTACTGTTGGCTATGGTGACAACACATCTTTGCTTCCCTACACACTTCTGTTAAACATATAACATGACAACATAGTGAGAAATATGCATAGATGCAAGTTTTAGTTTATCTGTCAGACAAAGAAATTTAAAATACCTTCTCTAGGATGGCATATGAAGCAGGAGCATGGCAAGGGCCTTGCTGATAACTTCCACAAGTTCCTAAAGGTGTTCCAAAGCTTGCAAATATAATGGAAGAGATAGATTGTCCGGGACTACAGCGCAAGTGAATCTTCGGTCTGCGGAACTCTTGTACCTTTCCGTAGCTTTCAATCTGCCAGTTCTTAACATATGGGTGATATTCAGAGACATCGGCACAAACGCTGGACAGGGATCTTTCAACAAGTGAGATTCTTGTGGGATCTCCTCCTAACTCCTCAAACAGAACTAACAGATTCTGTGTAGGTTTCAACCAAGACCGAGGAACATGGTACCTGAGAAAGAAAAATTAATTAAAACGCGCGCTTGAAAAGTTTTTTCATATCTTCGGTCCAAAAAATGGTTACCATCTTTGGGTTGGATTTCCACAACCAAGCTGACACTTGGGCGGTCGAAACGTTCCAGCATAATTACAGTCATTGCAGTCACCGTGAGCATATGCAGTCCAATATCTACCAATGCTCTGCCCATTAATCCAGATTTGACCTTTTCCCATACTCTCCAGGTCCAAAGCCAATGGTTCATCACCCTCAGGTGCATTAAAATAAGCCTGCAATATTGAAAGGGAAACCGTATTGAACTTTTAAGAATCCCCACCTTATCCTGCAATCACTTGTACTGTTCATTTTTTTCTTACCCTATGCCATCTTAAAGGCTGTTGTTTTTGTGCAGCCAATGATCCTTCCATCCACTCAACCGAGGAAAATCTGTTTGGTGTGACTAGATCCATGGCCTCTCCTTTAAGGCCAACCTGTTGAAAGAGGATTCATGAGGAAAACATATTTGAATCACAATACAGACAATGAAGAGGTTTATTTCACTACCTGGTAAGTCCATTTTTGCCGTGATAGGTCCCATTTTCCTTGGTCAAGTCCATTCAGTGCAACTGGACCTAGGATACCTGTATTCCATGTCTCAAAGTGTCCCCCTATATTCTTCAATCACCAAAAAAACAACAAAAATGTCATTTCCCATCTCAAAACACAATAATCATGCCATTGTTTTCAAGATTTTGATGATTTGAAGAACTAACTGGTAATCCAACGGCAACACTCAGCAGCGCAACTCTGTTTGTTCCAGCATGCAGATTGACCTTCCCTGTGTATGTGAATCTCCTATTTTGTCTTGTTCCAAAAGAAGAACCTGTTAAACACCATGATAAGACTTCTATTTCTAAAGAAGGAAAAAAAAAAGGAAAATGCAGGGCAACATAATTATGTACCTGAAAGTTGTCCATTGATAAAGACGTGTACAGCATGGCCTGTTGATTGAACAATGAAGTAGGGAGTTCCCCTCCACGAAGGAAGGATTCAGATGAACCAATGTCAACACTGTATCATATAACATGTATTTGTGAGACATTCCCAAATTGACGAAGACATTTGGAAACAGACAAAGAATTGCAGAAGAAACAAGCTATAATAAATCAAGAGAGAGGACAAAGCAGAAATATTCTTCAAATCTAACCCCAGATTTGTCGGTCTCACCTAGTAATGTACCACAGGTAATCACTTGCATCCCTTGTGACATTTATTTGCTCTAATAGCCCATCAGAAGTAATTGCAGACCTGTCATCTAGTGAAGAAGGATCTTCATCATAACTTTCCCATGAGAATATCTCGGTGTTTGTCGGTAGCATCTGCATTTGTGATGTCTGAACTCCAACCTGAAGAAAACAGCACGAGTTACATAGAGATCCTCAAACCTTTTATTACTTAATCTAAAAAGTATGATTCAGTTCCCATAGTCCTAAAACTGATCTCACAAATTCAATTATTTCACGAAATCAATACCTTTGCAGTATTAAATACTGCATTCCTGCAATCGGGAAGGATGCTGATGGACCAAGGAGGCAAGTTATAATGCATGTTGTTAAATAGCACCCTCGCAGCAGATTTGGTATCGTAGTTTGATAGGAAAGCTGCACAATCTCCCAATTCCGTTGTGTACATATAAGCCTGGAAAATTCCAAATGATGACTAGAATTAGTGAACCTGTTGGAAATATGGACTGAAAGAATATAAGCAGAAACCTGTTGGGAGTCTCCTAGTGATGTAATAATAGGATCTGCCGACACTAAAGATCGCTCACACATCTTAATAGCCCTGTGGAGCTCCTTTAGATGACCATATTTTGGTTGTCTAATCAAACCTGTCATTTTTAGCTTGAATTAGAGGTAAGGCAACGGGGAGGACCGTGTAAAGAGAGAGCAGATATGATCTTCCCATTTTTGTAACCCAAAATCGAAGGAAATAAGCCTTGATAGGTTAACAGGAGAAGACACAAGTGAATGAGGATACAGAGTTCATATTGTTTTCAGTTTTAAATGCAATTGATGTGAGGTAAAGACAGTAAGGTGTGAACAATTCTTCTATATTTTAATACACAAGGAACTTGGAAGTAATAAAATTAGCCTTTTCTCACCATATTCATCTATTGGAGCATCATAATCGTAACTGGTAGTGATGAAAGGACCTCCAGCCGTACGTCCGAAATTGGTCCCTCCATGATACTGGTTCGAAATGTGAATCATGTTTCCATTGTAAAAACTGTATACCCTTTGAAAAAAGTGAAGATAATGAGAAAATATAGGAACTTACCATGTAATAGTTAACAAAAGATCCTCCTTTTTGAATGAATCGAGCAACAGCAAATGCCAAATCTTCGGCTGGACGATGGTGAAGTGGACCACCAAACTCGGAGAACCTTTTGCATAAACAAAGGCATATAATGGTTGGACTCACAAACCATACAAGATTCTTCAAATTAAGGTCACAAAGAAGGTAAAAGAAAAGAACTTACCATCCACTCCAAGCCTCAGTCCACATTGTTGGCTTGTAGGGTTTGTTGGGTTGGAATGAATCACAGTAGAAACCATTGCATGTGTTTATCTATCAAAGTACACATAAAACTCTATTACCATCCATATTATGCAAATTAACATGGAGATTTCTGACACAAAAAGAAAACATATATATAATTTGAAAACGTGAAACTGGATTTTGCATATATTTGTCCACAGTAAGTAATTCCTTAGAACACTAAGATCATAGAGCAAGTGACTTAACATGCTAAATGTTGATTGGATTACTTACTATTGGGTCTGGGGCATCTTGTTCCTTGCACATTACCCAAGGGACTCCGGTTCCAGTCTCGATGGCCATTTTCGCTGCCCAAGAAACATAATCGTAGCCAACAGCCCCTTGTAATTTACTCTGTGCCCCATACTCATTCTCAATCTGAGTTCATACAAATTAAAAAGAGTAAACTAGAGGCTGCATATGACCATTGTAAACGAACCTCGGACGCGAAATCCCTAGTTGCATAAATCAACATCTTAATGGAAACAAGGAAAGCTTTTACCTGAGATAGAATAATGGGACCACCCTGGGACTCAAACAGGTTATGACTCTTCATCAGTCCCACAATCTTCTCAGTGAAACCTTGCATAGCTCTCTGCAATTATATGTATTAACAATCCTTATTTATTTACTTCTATTAACAAACGGTTAAAAATATATCCTGAACTATTTATTACTGATTAATTTACCTTCCAATAATTTTAGTCATGCAGTAAAATCAAAGGAAGAAAGGATATATATACCTTGAAAGGTTCATTGTCTGTTCTGAAGCTGATGCCTGGTACATACTTTAACCATACAGGAAACCCTCTGGACATGGTAAAAAGAATGTTATACCAATTATCTCAAACAACAAAGAAGAGAAATAAGAAATGAAGCATAGCTAGAGATTAAGATCTAACCCAAAATTCCACTCTGCACAAACATAAGGCCCAATGCGAAGATGAGCATAGACACCTGCTCTATGTATTGTCTTTATGAATCTCACGAGGTCATATCTTCCTTCAAAATTATACTGAAAAAACAATAAAATATTTAACAACTTCAATTCCAAGAAAAAGGAAAGCAGCTTAGAAAGCAAAAATATTATTTTTATATTGTGGAGGAAAATGGAGGGAAAAAAATAAGAATTACATTCCCA